AAAAAAAATTGCGGAAAATTGTTTCATGTGGCCTGGACCCAAGTATTCATGAACTCGAAACTGATTCAAAATCATTGTTAACCTTGAAGTTATCGATATATATACTCAATAAGCACAAAAATTTGAATCCAAAAATGCATATCGTAAATCAAAATTTGAGCATAACTGAGATAATTTATGAAATGGGTGCGATTTCTATAAGGTTGCAACCTTAAACAATCCAATTAAGATGCACTTTAAAAATTTTATCATAACATGTATTTTTATTGTAAAAAATTCTTAATATTATCTTAAAATCTATTTTCTTACCTAATTTAAAAAATTTAAATTCCAAAAATGATTAAAATCAAGTCGATCTATAAATATTTGAAAATCTTGAAAATGGACGGTTTAGATAATGTGTTGCAAGATGCACTATTCCCGAGATTCAAAAACTTTTTTTTTTTTCCATATTCATAGATCTCAATGTCGAGAGGATTGATTAGAAAGCATTTTCAACATTAAAACAACATTTCTGATAGATTTTTGAGGTGCATCTGTGATTTTACACTTTCAGGTTGCAACCTTACATGAACTTTTCCCTTATGAAATTCTTGTTCTTGAAAAATTCTAGACATGCTAGCTTCCCCAGGAGGCATCAAGAAAGTATATATCATACATAAAAGTGAAAAAATACTTTTTTAGAAAATTGGTGGCAAAATTGGTTCTTGTTGCGTCGACGGTATGAGAGGTTTAGAATATTGAGGACAATTAGAGTGCGTCTTAATTTGGGCATTTTTGGGTGTTTCTCAATTTGAGATTTTCCCTTTACGGATTCTCAAAACCATGGTTTTCTTTGTCTTAATTGAAAACCAGTCTAGACCGATGAATCATTGACATTTTACTATACAGAAAAAACACATGAAAAACCAATGAACATGATAAAAATCGGTCTGGATCAATGAATTGACAGCTCATATCGCAGTTTTACTGTACCAAATTGCCAATTACCGTTTAGACTCGACCGTTTTCTTATATACACGCAGAACGAACGATTGCTAGTCTAGGGCACTAAAAAAAGAGAAAAAAGGGTTTATAAAAGGGAGAGTATTTATAAAAAAGAAAAAGAGAGGGTGTGCAAATCTCTCTCTGGGGCATCGTTAATCTTGTGCACGCAGTTGTAGAGAAAGAAAAAAAGGGATTTATAAAGGGAGAGATGAGGTTTTGTTGAAGAGTAAAGACTAAGATTTTAGCAACTCTAGAGGGATAGAGGTGGGGACTTGTAGAGACTGATTGGGGCTTGTATAGACTTGTATAAAATAAATATATTGGTATTTCTTAAGGGCACATTTGGTCCGTACATAAATACTTTCTCACAAGTATTTTTATATAAAAATTGTGTTTTATACATGTGTAATACATATGCAAATAAATACCATGGTAAAATATTTTACTAATAGTGTAATTCATGGTAAAACAAAACCTCACCACTTTATGCATGTTAATTTAGATAGGTTAATTTAAATATACCTCACCTCTTTAAGCTTATTAATTTAAATATAGTTCACCTCTTTAGACAGGTTAATTTAGATATACCTCACCTGTTTAAGCATGTTAATTTAGATATACTATTCAAATAATTTCCATATAACTACTTAGCTATTTCAACCAACCAGTTCTTCCTTAAATTTACTATTTAAAACTTTAGATATAAAAACCTGATATAAACACCTAAAAATATACTATGTAAATCATTTAAATATTATCATCACCTACTCTAATGTAATCATCAGCTACTCCAACTCCAACTCCATCTGAATATATTAGTTAAATATTTTTGATATAAACACCCAAATATTATAATTCTCGTCGTTTAATATGGTTTATTAGTTGAATACTTTCGATATAAATGTCCAAAAATTATAGGTCTGGTCATTTAAATATAAAAACCTAATATAAACACACAAAAATATATTATTCAAATAATTTGGATATAACCATCACATATTCAACGACATCTAAATATATTAGTTAAATAATTTTGACATAAACACCAAAAAATTAATACACGTTTAAACACCCAAAAATGATAAGTCTAATCATTTAATAGGGTTTCTAAGTAACCAAATACTTCATAAAATATCATGTGAATGTTACCAATTTGATCTCCTCCAACAGCTCACGGAATAGTGTGATTCTTGAAGTTATTTGAAGCAAAAGAATATTTATCATCATACAATCCACATCACTCAGTCTACCTAAGTCATGTGATTGCCATGAAGCCTCCATTATATTGGCTGTTGTATTTGGAGGAGCCTTCGTTCAATCACAATCATTCAACTCTCATTTTAACGGTGGATTTCCCTAGAGGAACTCTCAAAAAATCATCCTCCTAGTTTTGTATCAATTCAAACAAGATGTGGGACCATACAAAATTACTGTGTAATCAGTTCAATAAGCATTTCACTAAAATGTTATACAGACCATAGACTAACATGTTATACACTAAGTTTACGGACCCTAAACCAAATTTACTTGTTCAACTGGAAGCTTCTAGTTTCAAAAATATTATGGATAGAGTTTAACAAAAAGCTCATATCCATAAGGAACCAACTGTTAAGGAACTAAAACATGAACTTAGTGAAATTCGCAATGAGTTAATAACTCTAAAAAATAGAGTTAATATGTTAGAAATGACAACTGATTATTCTAAAAAGGAAGACGATGATCTAGAAAGCGAAAAGTCATTCGAAGAGTTTATGGAGGACTTCAAAGAATTAGAACTTACAAAAAATCCTGACAATCCAGAAACTAGTAATTCAGAAATAAGCCAAGACCCCAATTCTGGAAGGACTAAAGATGTTAATGTTCTTTCAAAAACCAAATTAAAAAATTTGGAATACGTTAATATGATAGACAAAATAATAACTCCAAGATGGGACACCATAGTTACTATAGTTGTCAGCAATGAATACAGCTTCCAGTCGATTGCCCTAATTGACTCGAAAGCATACTTAAATTGCATAAACGAGGGCTTAGTCCCTGTTAAATATTTTAGTAAAACTATACAGATATTGAATAATACTGATGGTAATAAAATGATAATAAACTACAAATTGTCTGAAGCAACAATATGTAATAATGATTATATATATATATATATATATATATATGGATAAACCTCAATACAGCTGGCCAGCTATAATAAATAGTATAGATAGTATGAAAGTCGTCAGATCTTCATCATGTGGTTCAGAATGAATATCACTATTTTAATTTTAAGTTTTTTTTTATCTAAATCTGATTAATATAAAATTTTTAGTGTATATACCTAACACAATTGAGCACCATATAAAAATATAAAAAAATTATTTTCAATAATTTAAAATGACCAAAATACCCTCATAATTTTTCAAGGGTATTTCGATTATTTAATATTCTGAGAAATATTTTTTATTTGTGCACCCTATGTTTTAGTATACATGTCCAAAATTTCATTATGATCTGATTAATAGACAATTAATTAAAATTAAAACAATGATATGCATTCTAAACCGTATGATGAAGATCAGACGATTCCCATTCCACCTATAGCACTATTCATTATAGCTCATCAGCTATTGTTAGCTTTTTCCCAATGCCTATAGGTAAAAATGAAAAGTGATTTCGCCTTTGCTCATCACCGTCTAAAGTTCATTACACGGTCACAATTGTCTGGTAGTATTTCAATTTTCATGTTTTTTATATAAATCGAAATGATTTGAAATTTAACACATGTGTACATCTTAATGATATGCACCTAATAAAAATATAAAAATAATAATAATTTGTGAAATATAAATTGAGCAAAAAACCCCCATAAATTTTCAGAGGTATTTTGTTTAATTTACATTTTACAAATTATTTTTTTTATATTTTATTAGATTCTTCTATTTTTGATGAACACGCGCTTCAAATTTCAGATCATTCCAATTTGTAGAAAAAAAATGAAAATTAAAATACCAAACAACCGTAACCATGTGATGAACTTTGAACGGTGGTGAGCATAATCGAAATCCCAGTTCATTTTCGCCTATAGGTGTTGCATAAGCTCTAAACAATCAAATTATAACTTACCTTTAAATTGTATCGAGACATGTGGTTTCAATATTGGAAATCTTTTTGATAGCCTTCAAATATATTTTTATTTATAAAGTTTAAAACTTAAAAAATAGTATAGATCGAGAAATCTAAAGAAACATGAAAATCTTGAAAATTGGCGATAAAAAAATGCGTTACAAGATACACTATTTTCAAAAGTTGAAATCTATTTTTTTTCTCATGTCCATGCATCTTGATGTTGTGATGATCAATTTGAAAATATTTGAGCATCAAAACAACCTCTTCTAGTGAAATTTTTGAGGTAGGCTCGAATTTGATTGTTTAAAGCCTAAGCTCGATATGAACGTTTCCCTACTTAAAATAGGGAAAAGTTTATATAAAGCCAAAGCCCTAAACCATCAAATTAGATCTTATCCTCAACTTGATCATCTCAACATCAAGATGCATGGACATGAAAAAAGATAATGGATTTCAAGTTTCGAAAATAGCATATTTTGTAACACATATTTGGACCGTCAATTTTCAAAATTTTTAAATTTTTCATAGATCTATTGATCTACACTATTTTTCAAGCTCTAAACTTTATAAATAAAAATAAAAATATATTTTAAAGCTATCACAAAGATTTTCAGTATTGAAACCACATTTCTCGACACTATTTGAAAGTAGGCTCTAATTTGACCATTTCGAGCCTAAGCTCCATACAAACCGCACCCTTTAAAAAAAAACCCCTCCCCCACGCCACGTAAAATTCGTAGTAAAGTTTTTTGGGTTCCACTTTACCATTGATAAATTTGAGCATGTGAAATGTTAGATAAATTTGAGTATGTGAAATGTTAGATGATTTATGTTCTATATAAAAATAATCAGATATTACTCTTTTTTCATGAAAGATAACCAAATTACAACAACCATCCATATTTTCCCTCAACTAAACTTTCTTTATATATTTCATAACACTCAATAAATATATAGACAAATAATAAAATTAAAAATTGTTTCATATTTCAAACATTTCCCCATCATTCATGTAGTCCCTCAAAAATAAACCGCATCCTCCACACCATCATCCATGTAGTCCTCCTTCAAAAATAAACCCAAGTTCTCTAGTAAGTATGAACTACTCAAAACTGATTCAAAATCAGTGAAGTTGTCGATATATATTGTCTTTTTCATCTGCACACAAAGATATACCAAATAAGCACAAAAATTTGAATCGAATAATGCATATCGTAAATCAAAATTTCAGCATAACTGTGATACTTTATGAAATTCTTGTTCTTGAAAAATTCTAGACATGCTAGCTTCCCCACGAGGCATCAAGAAAGTATATATTATACATAAAAGTAGAAAAATACGTTTTTAGAAGATTGGTGGTTTTTGTTGCTTCGACTCTTTAAGAGATTTAGAATATTGAGGACAATTAGAGTGCGTCTTAATTTGGGCATTTTTTGGTGTTTCTCAATTTGAATTTTTGCCTTTTCAGATTCTCAAAACTATGGTTTTCTTTGTCTTTAATTGTTTTCAATAATGATCCACAAAAAGGATAAGTGACTTGGATTAGGCACCCCAAAAACCAGTCCGGACCAGTAAATCAACAGTATGGATTGCCGTTTTACTATACGGAAAAAACACATGAAAAACCAATGAACATACCAAAAACCGGTCTAGATCAATGAATCGGCAATCCATATCATCGTTTTACCATGCCGAATTGCCTGTTCCCTTCTAGACTCGGCCGTTTTCCTATAGACACGCAGAACCAGAACAGGATAACCGATTCCTAGATCAGACTGGGCGATTCCAAACCAACCCAACATTTTTTTAATCACTAATTATAAAAATTCCAAAGAACATGAGTAGGACGGATCCAATATATGGTTTAGAGAGAGGAATAGGTGGGGTGGAGTCGATGACATAAGATATAGAATTGTTGTCTCTCTTTCTCACGTGGGCATGGCTTGTTATATCGCTCATTTTTAAAGAGAAGAAAAACAGGTCATATCTCTTTAGATGGGCAATTGTTCTCTATTTTATTTAGAAGTGCCCTCTCCCTCTCGAACGATTGCTAGTCTGGGGCACTAAGAAAGGAGAAGGGGTTTATGAAGGGAGAGAGTATTTAGAGAAAAAAGAACGATTGCTAGTCTGGGGCACTTAGAAAGGAGAAGGGGTTTATGAAGGGAGAGAGTATTTAGAGAAAAAAGAAGAGAGAGGTCTGCGAAGAGAGATAGTCCGCTGTCTCTCTGGGGCATCGGCATCGTTGGTCTTGTACACGCATTTGTAGAGAAAGGAAAAAAGGGATTTGTGCACGCATTTGTAGATAAAGGAAAAAAGGGATTATAAAGGGAGAGATGAGGTTTTGCTGAAGACTAGAAGACAAAGATCTAATAACTCCAGAGGGATAGAGATGGGGACTTGTAGAGAGTGATTGGGGGCTTCAAGAGAGGCTTGAAGAGGGTTAATGTAAGTGAATGTGGCATTGTACAAAAAAATAAATTGGTATTCCCTAAAGGAAAAAGTTTACACAAAGTTGCAACCTTATTTGTAGAAATAAGGTGGCAGTAATCCACACCATCCATTTTATTTTGGATAGTGTAAATTGGACACTATCTTAGAAGAAGTGCCATGTATTAAAACTGTCCTAAAAGATGTGTAAATCTATGGGAGGGAGGGAGCATAGAATGGAGAATCGATGGAGATAGAAGAAGAGAGAACACAACATTTACGTGGACGCCGAAACCTTACGTCCACGGATCCAAAGCCTCAATCGGCTATATCTTCACTATTTTTGGATGAATATATACATCAATAAGTACCTCTATATATTGAGGACAGTCACACAATTACATGAGATAAATATGATACGATAACTTGATCACCAAGTAACTTGATCTCTATCTTCTAGATACCTAACCTTATCAAGAGATATCTACATATAGATGTACGTCAATATAAACCCGATATATCCATATCCCAACACTCCTAAAACTCAAGATGCTTTGACACAAAACAACTGGAGTTTGAACAATACTTAGTTGCCAAAAAAAAAAAAGAGTAGTGATCAAATCCATGATAAATTTCACACGTTACCATGAACTTTTAAGAAACAACCATTTTTTGGGCTCTCTACTTTCTTCTCTGAAGACCTCTCTTCCAGAGGCTTCTCTGAAGACCTCTCTTCAGAGGCTTCTTTTCTTTCTAGAGGTTTTCTCTCTCTAAAAGAAAAAGATCATCACACAGGATGGTCAATAGGATTGAGTAACGAAAAACTCAATCATTGAAACATAGGCATCTGGAACAAACAGATCATCACACAGGATGGAGTAACGGAAAACTCCATCATCAACTAGGATCGAGAAATTCGATCATCTTCATCTCCTCATCTGAAGACGGTAACTCTTGATCATCAACCAGGATCGAGAAATTCGATCATCTTTATCTCCTCATCTAGAGATGGAACTCTTGATCATCAACCATAATTTTGAAACTCTTGATCATCAAATTGAAACTGAAACAGGAATTTTGAAACCAAAAAATCTTGAAAAATCCGCTAATCATGAATGACTGAAAAATGCACGAATACCGAAACATGGCAAGGCACTAGGAGCAAAAAACACATGAGATAACTGAAAAATGCACGAATACCAAAACTGATGTTCTTGTCCACATAGCGGGTACATTAGAGATGTTGACTACATTTCTATTCATCTCATCTCCATATCTCATATTTTCCATATCTCCTATACTCTCCCCCTCAAGTTGGGTGTAGAGGAGAAGAAACACCCAACTTGCAAAATGCAAGTGCTTTTTTTTTTTCCTTGTGAGTACAATCATATCAAAAAAAATGCGAATGAAATTGGGTTTCTAGATAAAAGCCCACATCTTAAAAAAATACCACCCAATTTTTTTTTTCCTTCTCAACTTCTTCAATTTTTTTTTTATATATATGGGAACCCAATATTTCCTGGTGAAGAAAAAAATTTCTTCAGAAAAATAATCTACATCTTAACAATCCGATGTCCAAAGTACCCCAAAAGAAGAGCAAAAGAGTCGACGGGCAGGCATTTCAGTCTGGACAAATACTAGAACAAATGGGTATGATCTTCCCCGAGCAATGGGAAGCCGTAGCATGGGACAGGCAGCTATCGCCAAAAAAACCTTTGCCCTCAGCCAATAGTGAAGGGCCTCTGCTTCTGTTAAGGAAAAGGGGGTTCCGGCCCGCTTCAAAGCCTCGATATTAATTGCATCCCCCTCTCTCTTGATGCTCACATACCACCAAATGGATAAGATCGATGCTTCTGTAAATGGATAAGATCGATGCTCTTGATCAACTGCTAACAAGGATTGTGTGCCATATGGCTTCTTAGTTGAATTGTATATGCGGAGTGGTGGGTATGTAAGGGTGAACGACTTGTTGGGATTGAACCTGTGAAGACTTGCTAATGTTCTCCTAATAGGGTTTCAATCGATGATTGAAAGATTGATGATTGCAATGAAAATTTGAGAGATCGATGATTGCTCCAATCGTAGATGAAAATTAAATTGATTTGATTACGGACCTTCACAAAACAAGCAATCTATGAGCCACAAATCAAAATTTTCTTCTTCGCTCTGATACCAAGTTCGAATTTGTGAGAGCATAGAATGGAGAATGGATGGAGATAGAAGAAGAGAGAACACAACATTTACGTGGACGCCGAAGCCTTACGTCCACGGATCCAAAGCCCCAATCGGCTATATCTTCACTATTTTTGGATGAATGTATACATCAGTAAGTACCTCTATATATAGAGGACAATCACACAATTACATGAGATAAATATGGTATGATAACTTGGTCTCTATCTTCCAGATACCTAACCTTATCAAGAGATATCTATATATACGACCATAATGATATATATCAATATGATCCCGAGATATCCATATCCTAATAATAAATAAGGTTCTAAAAAAGTAAAAGAAACTCTATGCACCATAATAGCGCGCATTTAAAATACACAGGATGATTTGCCTTTTGTGGAAAATCACTATTAAGAAATCATTTTTCAATTATCAGAAAATTAATAAAATATTTTCAAGATGAATGAAATATACTAACAGTTTGTAGAGCATGCCGAGCAGCTGCACGTTCCCTATTCCTCTTCTCTTGGGCCTCAACCTGTTCTCGTGCAACTTCATCAGCTCTGGCTTGAGCTTCCATCTTGGCTCTCTCTGCTTGGTATAGTACAAAATTAAAAAAAGAATAATGAAGGATAAAAAAAAAGCCAAGATAATACAAGTAAAGAATTTCTAACCTTCTAGCTTTCTTCTTTCCATTTCTTCTCTCTCCCTTTTTTCTCTTATGGCATCTCTTCTTCCGCCCTGAACATAGATCATGTGAGTACATGTAAACACAAATCTTCTCTTCTATTTGACATGGGCTATGTAATGTCAAGAATACCTCAACAAGCACAAGATGTTTCGAACGTAAGATACCCTCTTATATATATTTTATTTTTGTGCTAGGGTTACTTGCACCATTTGCCACAAGGGGTGATGAAATTTCAACATACAGCAAAAGCTGATACTGAACTGTAGAGCATTAAACGTGGTATCAACCATTACATGGTTCAAATACTAGCCTACCTTATGGTGGAATTTTATCAATGTCCAAGGCCAAGGACAAAAGTATAATTGCCCACTTGATTCATGATGGGGGAAATTTATGATGTCTAAACATCCAGAACACGTAAAGAGAGTTGGCTCCAAGAGCAACCTAGGGTATTAGTAACCCTGTTAGGCATCAAATTAAGGAGTACAAGCCCAACCAGATGTGCAAATGTGTGTGTGAGAAAGAGAGAATGGGAGGGAGAGGAATTACGTGGTTGAGGAGAGTCTTTTGTTGCGCCTTACGAATTGTGTCTGCGAAACGACTCTTGAGCATTGCAGCACGTAGAGCCTTGCTCGGAGAGAGCTGTCCATCAGGGGCATCACGCCCACCTGTAAAGACAAACACCACAACCCAATTCATATATGTCAGACGAATTCTTACTAATTTCTAAATGCCACAATCATCAAAGAGTGGGGCAGCTGCACATAAACAACCTTCTCTAAAAGCAGATGTGGAAGCAACTGGATGAGGACTGCGTGACTGACCACTTTCTTCATCAACATCACTTGCGGATCGTGAACAGTTTATTGGAGAAACTAAGTTACAAAAGAAAATTGAAATTATATAATCAAAGAAGTGAAATCTAGTGATCAAAAATAAAAGCGGAAAGGAAGAAGAAATAAATGAAGAGAGGAAAGAAGAAAACCTTTTCCACCATCAGCATCATGGTCCATGTTTGAGTACTGCTCAATGGCAACTTCAGCTGTAGACATCTGAGTGTCCTGCAAACAAGTGGGATAAGTTATTAGAAAAGGCGGGAGGAGGAGTAGTCACACACTTGCAGAGACACTAATTGAGAGCAGAAGTTGCACAGGAATACAGGGAAGAAACCACTCGAAAATACCCTTCAGATAATATGCATAAAAACCAATCTCAACTGAATAAAGAATTTGCGAACTATTTTTTCGCCTTTTACTATAGAACACCGTGTGCTCGCCACTTAAAATGGCATACACCTATTTTTGGCAGGGGCCATGTCGTAAGGGGTTGGACCCTCATAAAAATTTATTACTTACACAAAAAAAAAACCTGAATAAAAGATTTCACTGATAAACAGCACTAGATGCCTTCACCATATTTTTTACAGTAAAAAGTTACGAACAAAAATTTTAAATTTAGTTCCCAAAAGATTTATTACTATAACTAAGCAATAATCAAACAAGAAGCAAGCCTTGGTTGTCCATAAAAGATTTAAAGTGTTTAGGGAGTATATAGAAAGATCAATATAATGAAGGCTGAAGATGGAGCAAATAGAAATACAGTTATTGATTTATTTTTATTTTTGTTTTCTTTTTTTTTGTTGGCGGGGGAAATGGGGTTGGGGGGATGTGATTGTAACAGTACTTTTACAGTCATAACAAAAATTACGATGAAAGGCAAAAGAGATAAAAAATTTAACAAAATAACATATTGCATAGAAATGTTTTGCCCTAGAGAAAGAGCGAATAAAGTTTGCAGAGCAAAAGACATTACATTAAAAGACTATACAAAGTTAGGACGCCATAGTAGGCATCTTACAAATGCATGCAGACATACATAGGAAAAGGGATGCAAGGAAAATTAATAAGACAGTAGAATGTAGTTACTTTTGTAAAGTTGGACTACATGAAAAAACAGAAGATATCTGAACACCACAAAAATCTTAAAAAAAAAAAAACGAACAAACAGAAAACAAAATAATGTAATAGGTCACTGCTGGTGCTAACCTTTATATGTTTCAAATGAAATTTGGTCCCTGAGGATGCATGACCCTGGCTCACCCCTCCAACAATGGAGCCTTCAGAATCTACATCTGGAATGAACCACGACAAAGGAGTGAGGTACTTTTGGAATTCATTAGCAAGTACTTACTAGAGAGAGATGACATAGCTAACTAACCACTAGATAACGATTGGGTACAAACACTGTGATTCTCAACATCACCACAAACTGTAAATTCGCGAGCTTTTCCCATGCCTGAGTGCAGCAGCAATTACAAGTTTTAGCCTAATTAACAGCCACAAACTAATAACAGTACAGCAGAAAGATGGCACTGTACTGATAGTACCATTGGAGATGTTCTTGTGGACAATTCCTTGCACTGTTTTGCAGTCAACACCTGCAGGCTGCAATCACAAAATATGGAAACTATAAATACATCATCAATCTATTAATTAGTCACAAATCTCTCACATACTTCAAATGTATTTCCTGTATCATTTTATTTTTCTTTTTCTATTGCTGTGAGTGGTATTGGGATCCAAATTGGAATGTTTTTGCAGAATCCAGACCTATATCGTACACACAAAACCTTCAATCTTCTCCAATTTTGGGGTAATTTCCTGTAGTATTCCTTGATGAATACTTCCAAATATTTGATATGCTGACTTCGGAAGTATAACGTAATCAGTGGCTTGACATATATTCAAATATATATATATATATATATATATATATATATATACAACAACAAACTACGTAGGTGGGTTAGGTACGTAGTGTACGGAGGGGTAGGTGGTAGGTAGTCGACCACCGAACGAACGACGACTACGTTCGTTAGGTAGTACGGT